AACAAAGGCAGCAGGACTATCACACACACGTTACAAAACACTGAACTGATGAGCAGCAGGGTTTAAAAATGACACAAAGCATCCGCACCTGCACAAACCAATCGACCAGTAAGGACAACATTGCAGATGCAGCATTAAAACATCCTGATAAGTTGTTTCAGTGCCAAACCCAGTGTCAAGGACACACTGCTCCTGAAGTACACACACCCATGTGACTGTGTCCTCGAGGGAAATCCACAGAAAGCATGTAGAACTCAAATCACATCAACTCAGTTTATATATTACTGTTCCTCCAATGCAACCTGACGCAGCGCTTTAAAGCATTGACCACAGCCTTTAGTTTTAACCTCCGTTTGCTCAAATTGGCAGTCAGTAGCATTCGTGTGAGATCAAATCCCAGCATGCATTATTCCTCAGTCCTCACGTGTTAGGGCTGTCAGAGTTTCTGAAGCAATTCATTCATCAACAACAATTTAGAAAATTGGTGTATAACAGAAGTGATTTGCAAAGGACCAACACTAAGAGTCTAAAGTCATGCTAGCTGCTCGGCCCGTCCACACGGCGGCGTGCGTTGAAGCTTCAACGCTTCTGCCCATTCACTTTGAATGGGGTGACGTCACGCTTTGCCGAACTGCATTGTGGGAGCGTCGCTTCACTTCAAAAGTAGAGCAATGTTCTACTGTTGAAGCTTCGACGGAAGCGTCAGCCAATCAAATCATATGCCAGTACAAGCTGTAGCCAATCAAACCGCGTGCTTGTGTGTCCGGGAGATTCATGGGATTGGTTGTTGGTCGAGCTTCAGACACGCCCGCCGGCAAGCGTCAACGCACGCCGCCGTGTGGACGTACCGTAAAGCTGCACTAAGACACAGTGGTGCTTCAAACTAAATGCTATCATGCTAACACGATGATGTTTGGCATGTTCAAAGTATATGGAGATCTCCGTCTTAGTTTAAGCATGCTAACATTTGTTATTTTGGGCTAAACAAAGTACAGCTGTAATTTTGCTGGTATATGGTCATAAATCAAAGTATTGGACGAAATAAAAAGTTGACCTGATGATGGTCTGAGATAAATAGGTTAGAGATGACCGAAGCCAATAGTTGAGAAATTGTACACATAACGAAAAACATACTTATTCTGTCCTTGGAAAAATAAGTAATGAGGATTCTTAGCCATGTAACACCGCATGCCCGTTTCTCTTATTTATATAACTGTGAATTGAATATTTTTGCAATCAGAATTTTGCAGGGCGCACATATTGTTTGGTTGTGTGAGTCACAGGCAAGACAAGAGGGGGAGCTTTTGTTTTGGATTTGTGTAGGATTTTATTCAGTGGCTCACATCGCTGAGAAACTTCTACTTCATCACAGAGTTTGTGAAATATGGGTGAGTTAACAGACTAGGCTAAGTAAGGGATAAGTAAACCATCCAACCATCAGCTGGTACTGAAGATACACACCGTCAGAAACTCTCAAACCACACTGACAATACAGTCATTAAGTCATGATGTTTATCAGTAGATATAATCCCTTTATGAACCGTTTGTCTTAAACGGCCAATAATCTGATTTACAGGTAATACATTATTGTAAAGGAGTTATTGCCTTGCCCCAAATAGACATTTAAAAACTGCAAACAATTCTTTACGGACTCACTCTTACTCATTTTGCTGCCATTATTGAAGCTCGTGCCTAAACGGTGTGAGAAAATGTGTGTTTTCAGCCCATAATAGATCTCATATTCATTGAAGGAGTACCGGGGCCACGAGCTGTAAGCAATACAAGATAAATAATTCCAGATGAATAATTCAAGTCATTATAATGAATAAATGGAAGGTAATTATCCTGCTCCAAGTAGCAACCCGCGATTCAACGTGAGCACGAGAGGACGGAGATAAGAGGGGTTTCCCAGAGTCAACGAGGGACAATCAGCTGCTTTGTCGAGCGGCGAGGGAGAGGAGACAAAACACCCGTAAACACTGATGATGAAGAGAGCCTCTCACGCAGGAGCTTGAGTGTGTGTTTGAATGGGTTGGTGACCAGTGGCTTAGCTGCAGATGTACCGATGAACATAAAAGGTTTGGGGAAGAGATGCGCCCTCCGTGTGACTGAAAAGCCTTTGTGGGGAGTCCCTGAACGCCCCCCACAGCCCCCTTTCTGTTTTTCAAACAGCACAGGAGAGATGACGAGGATGAAAGGCAGGACAGGACGGAGAGGGAGTCCACCGTCGTCTCTTTTGTTGTCCATCTGCTGTCTTAGCCGTTCCGCCATTCTCTTGACAAGCTTAACCCCCCCACTGCTGTCACAGGTGTAAACCCCAAATGGGAGAAAAAAAACTCCTGACTGAGCTCCTCTAAAAACGAGTGCGTTGGTACTTGAGTTTTCTGAGTGAATTGAAAGCAACACTACAATAGAGAGTCTTCAAATGATAGATAGTTGCAGTTTCTTTACGCTAACAATACAATCTGGATGTTGAGCATGACCTGCCCATTGAAAGAAATAGCCTTTATCTTGCATGTGCTAATGACTTGAAATGTACTTATTCAGTAAGACTAGTTCAAACTAGAAACACAGACCTAGTTTCTATAAGTGAAAAATAAATCTGTGTATCCGCCCACTTATTTAGAGCTTCTACAAAATGATATTCTTGCTTGGCCCATGCTACACCCACAAAGTGCCATGGTCTGAATTCTGCTGAAAAACAAACTAAACCAAAAACCTCCTTGGCAGAGGTCATAATTAAATATTCAGGGTAAGTAATGTGGTTTTTTTAGAAGTATGAATTACCATAATATATATTCGGCACCACTGTCTGCCACTATCCTGGTTTTACACAACAGAAGCCAAGTCTATAACCCAGGAAGAGAGAAACTGCACAAATATTTTGAAACCTAAAAATACATTCATCCTGGAAAGCAGCCTATGTTTTGGAGAGGAAGCGTGTCTCACTTCGCTGGAGACCATCAGGAGACACCGTCATCACGCTCTTCTCTAGCAGAAGGGCTTAATAGAAAAAAACTTTGTCTAAATGATAAACCTATAAAACGCAGATACATAAATCAAAGTTATAATGATTTAAAGTCTCAGATTACAATCTCATGCCTTTCCTTTTCCAGTTAACAATATTGAGCATTTACTGCAAACCACTGACGCAGCTAATACAACATGTGACAGCTTTTGATCTCTTGCGATAACAATGTACAGTTAACGAGATTTTTGGTCACAGATGATTCGCTCTGCCCGCCCTGTTGGCAACCATGACCTGGATAGGCGGCTAAAAATGGATATATAATGGATGGATTGGTAATGAGTGACTATACATGCACCTAAAAGGCCAATATTAAACTACCAATATACGCTTGTGTAAATGTGCCAACATAGGTCTTCAAAATACTGAGTCTTTAGGGAAGAGATGAGTGATATAACTGACTGATTTGTTTCTATAACTATACTATCAACATCTACATACACCTTTTCACTTGTGTTCCCAAAGGCAAAGGCACTGTACAAATACAATAAACTTACATACGTAGTTACTATATAAAATAATACTAGGGATGCACAAACTCAATTGTTTCTCTCCTGGTACAGATTCAGATACCAGTGCTTTCATAATATCACCACACTCGAATCGCCATACCTTAATGGAACAATATGTATGTGAGGTAACATGTGACCAAAGATTTCTGTGGCATTACAAACTGAGTAACAACCATTTAAAAGCACAAAACAACTGTTGCATCATGGATAATACCCATTACGTGAAATATATATATATATAATATATCAGCGCCAATCCACATATGTAAAAAATACAATTTGAAAAGGGATCAACCGATTTTTGCAACAAAAATAAGATGATCCTCTCACTAGACTAGAGTATTCACTGAGGCAAGGAACAGTCTCAAAAGTACAGTGCTTTTAAAAAACATAACACAATAAGCTTTACCATAGGTACGTTCATCAGTATAATAGTTTAAGGAAAGACCAAACAAAACTGAATTTATCAATGACAAAGATGTCCTCAGGCCGTGCTCAGAGCTTCGTAAAACTGCTTTCTCTTTTTTGGTTCGGTATAAGCTGCAAAATATAATTACATTAAATATACACCCTACTTTTAACTACTTTTACAAACTGCCCTGAAGGAAATAAGTTGCTGTTTTACATAATCATTGACTCAGGTGTAATATGCTATGGATAGGCTGGTATGGCCGGTATGCCTCTTTTCTTTTGCTATTGGCCCTGTGTTGCTTATGTGAACTTAATTGCATTTATCTTGCCGTCTTGACCAGGACTCTCTGGAGGAAGAAATTGTCTATGTTATAGCGTATCCTGGTTAAATAAAGAATAGATACTTGTTTTGTCAATAATATAAGCCAGCAGCTGTCCCTGGATTTATGCATTTATCCCTGCAGTGTTCCTTGTCATGTCCTGGACCAACAGTGGTTGTAAAACAGACATGTAGAGTAGCTATTACTCTATAAATTCCCACAGGATTTGATCAGGCAAGTTTCTACTATTTTTCTCATGTAAATTAAGCTAAGTGTAAGCCTTAACTATCAGACCTCTGACCTGCTGACACTGACATCACACAGGCTGCATTCACACAGGGGTCAACCTTTATCACCTGACCTGCCAATAAGACGAATAACATGTTAACATCACCTGCTTATACTAATGTAAAGCATGTGCTAACGTGATGCTCAATCTAAAAAACAACTCCTCAGCAGGCTACCGTTAGCATGCTAGCTCATACCTGTCACTTAGCTCTCTGCGGTTCATGTCAAACACAGAAACACACCGTAATGTGCAAATAAAGCCATTACGGTCGTTCAGTCCTTGTGGTTGAAGTAACGCCATGTGTTGCTGTTAACGTTTGTGTTTGAGGTCAGTTTAGCCTTCATGTTATGCTAGCATGCTAGCTGCAAAATGAATGGGGGGTTGGGCTAGCCTACAGCCTCCAGCAGCCTGTATCCTCAGTATCAGCGGAGATAACTCACCTGGTTATAGTGCACCCTGAGCGGCTTCAGGTAGTCGGACTCTGTGCACGGAGTGACTTCAATGTTGTTAATTTCTTCCATATTTTACACCTGGAGCTGGATTATAGGCTGACCGATGCTCGTCTGTCACCGCCGCACACTAACTGTCAGTGGAGGAATGTCTACGGAAGCCGGCAGAGGACATGAGAGAGAACCATGAGCCTGCATGAGAGGAGGAAGGAGCAGTGTTAGGGATGGAGGGCAGCTCATTGCATTAATGGATAGTGTTTCAAGCTGTGTATGAAAAATAATGGAGATAATAAGCCTAAGTATTGAAGATTTACATTTCAATAACATAAAAGCATCCTTTAAAATAACGATTTTTAAGATGTCTTGTTATTAAATATACTGTAGTCAATGAATGAAACACTTGACACATTTTGGCCACATCACAATGTTCCTCAATTGCCAAAATCTTAAAAAAGTATTATTCTTTGTATGAAAGAATAATGCAGACAATAAGTCTGAGTATTGTTAGGAATATAAACATTTCAAATCATATAAAAGCATCCTTTAAAATAACGATTTTTAAGATGACTTGTTAAATGAAAGTATGCCTTTTTGAATATAGTCAATGAGTGAAAGACTTGACACATTGTGGCCACATAACAATGTTCCACAAAAGCCTAAATCATAAAAAAGTAAATAAATAAAGACCTCAAAACATTGCCTTAACAATGTGTTTTTCCTCCTTTTAATAATCTTAGGGGGATTAAGTTGAACTAAATTGATCCCTCTCTAATAATAATGGGAATACAGAAAATGCATATAGTACCTTTGTACATACAATGCAGCTCATGAGGTTTAAGTGATGGTTGAGAGTCATCTGATGAAAGTTTGAGGATTAAGTCAGTGCTAATGAACTGAGTGAGTGTATTCATCATCAGACCCGGTGAATTGGCTTACAAATGTTTTTGGACTGAAGAAAGTGATAATTGAAATTCACACTCATCCACACAGGCAGCGCGGGTGTATTTTAAAACTAGGACTTGAAGTGCTATATTTTGTATACAGTATATGCTTAACCCACTGTGTGTCATTTTTATTTATTTAATGTTTTGCACAGATTGAACAAACCAGATATAATGTGTTAATTAATTCACGTGTGTAGTGGTTGATTATGTAATCTTTGGACTGAGCCGCTCTATCTGTTTTCGCCTGATTGAATTTGTTATGCTAACTGGCTGAATCAATAAGACTATTTTCTAAACATATTTTCCTCTAACAAATAGGATATAATACTATAGTTTTTAGCAAATGCTTTGGAATGACAGCATGTTCCAATACAGTTATATTCAACTGAAGTGCATCTTTAAAGGTCACCTATTATGCAAAACCCACTTTTTCATGTCTCTTATACATCAACACGTTTAATCAATACATTTACACTCTGTGTAAAGAGATTCTGAAAGTTTCAGGAAAAAATTTCACTCACTTTTTGTCCTGATCCACTTATATAAAAACCTGTCTGAAAATGAGCTGATCAGATTTTGGCCACTTTATGATGTCATGAGGGGGAGTGGCTCCTAAATTTCATCTAAAGTAAAAGACAGAGAATCAGCACTTTTGAAACAGGGCTGAAACAGAGGGGATTATGGGATGCTACAATAATCTGTTCAGAGACATGTTCTGTATCTGAGACCTATAATATATTGATGAAAAACAGTATAATAGGAGACCTTTAATAGCCCAATACAGCTTCATATTAAACTTGATCCGAGACCCCTCACTCTGCTGAGCAAGGAGTTAGAGACGGGTGTGGGAGAACTTTCTCACCAACCCTGCCTTGAAGGGTGAGGCTGTATGATGTCACCCCCAACATCAATAACAGCCTTATAATTGAAAACAATCTGCAGAGCTCCAATCTCGATTGGGCTGACTTCCTCCAACAAATGAGCCCCAGTCCACCGCCCACTGCACAAGGACAGGACGTAACACTTTTTGAAAACTGATTTACATCCAAATAAATACAGGCCTAGACGAAACAATGTGCGGACCCTAAAGAGGAACATTGCCCGATACAGCCAAGCTGCAGGGCACGATAAGACGGGAGGCCGACTGCAGAGATGAAGAATTGTGCAGGAGTCAACCTCTTCTGGTTTGCTGAACACAAAGAAACGTTGGTAGAAATATGAGGTGATGAAATGAGAGCAAGGCATAAAGAAGGAAAATATGAATAAAATATTCACACCAATTTGTGTTATGGGTTTGTATGACTGACTTAAACTCTCACTGTAAATACACTCTGGTGATGTCTCCTTGTGGTTAACTTGCTTTCTATACAGTTATGTGGATTATCAATTTGAAAGGGTAAAGTTAAATCCGAAGGGTCATCGGATTACGAATTTGAAAGAAAATAAGTTACATAAAGTTCTGATACACTTCTCTCTTGAATTATTGGGAAATATTTGGGAAATCTCTCCATGAGGTGACAAGCAACTGCAACCATATTGGTTTTTGTCAGGTGTCACAATACAAAATATTAAACTTGGATATTTAACAAAAGTATCAAACTACTGTAACTTATTGTCATGTCTCTAAAAGTCAACTTCTCATGAGTGAACTCAGAAAATCTGCAACAGTTCCTTTTTGTAGCTGATCCAAGACGGATATCAAATAGTTAATTTAGCTTTGCAAACCACTGAAGGAACTCTTTGTTCTTCAGTTTAGCAAAACACATTCCTAATAAGAAATCACAACATTTGGAGACACGTGTTTTTAAATTGACAGTAGGAAAATGTTGCTCTAAAAAGAAACTCATACTGTCAGACAAATGTAGGGGGGAAAGTACAATATAATTTATGTCTCTGAGATTACGTGAAGCAAAAGTAGAAAATGCATTATATTGAAATTCGCAAGTTAATAAGTTTGTTTACCACCAAAGCAAGTAAATCATATACTAGTGTGACGGATACATAGATACAGGAAGAAGAAAAAAAGACAACAGACAGTATTTTAGCTACTAGCTGCAGGACGACTGAAGTTTGATATTGTCTTTTACATGCTGCATGAAAACAGCCTCTGTCTGGGAGTCTTCTTACACTTGAAAATGCACTTATTCCAGCGCAGCAGAACAGTAAAACTCATTGAGTTGAGTTTCCTGACACTGATTCCTCTCTTGGGCCTCACTGGAGCATCACCCACATAAATGCTTCCCAAAAAAAAAATCTTATCAGCTCCTCTGCCGGTCCCGAGGCATCGGTAACGTGTTAATCCCATCCTTCCATGAACACGCGGTGCCGGCCCCTCGCAGTCACAACCAATTACAGTGTGCATGCGGCTGATGCAGGCCAGACTCTCCCGGGCTTAGATCAACGTCAAACCTGGAGCCTCCCGAATCCTCCAAACCTCCTCTTCCTGTCTGCCTGCTCTGGGGTTTTATGTCTTTCTGTCTCCTTTCTTAAAATGGTGTCCATATCACTTTAATTGTTATGCTTTTTTTGTGTTATATCATAACTTCAACAGTTGTTTTTCCACAGTTGAATACTGACAGACACGTACTCCATTTTTTTTATTACTAGGTATTATCTGTGATACTTCTGATTTTATATAAACAATATCAATCTTAGACTGTTCTCTAAATACCTTATATATCATTGAGAAGCAGTTTTCACTTTAAGCACATACAAATATCAATAGTTGTCTAATTTCTATGTGATGAAACTTTGATACGACATTTTGATGATTTTGAACTTAGTTTTGGTAACGTTTTTTTTGTTAAAAGAAAGTATTACTTACCAGTTTGTGTTATGGTTTTTTTTCTCTTTTGGAGTTGCTGTGTTTATTTGTGTGAATGCTGTCTTTTTTATCAGATAGAATACATTTGTGGAAGGCCAGAAAGTAACCCATCAAATGTTGTGTGAAAGTATATCTATTTGAATAAAAATAATGCTGATAATCGCTGACAAAGAATTCATTGAAAACAAACATTCAGTATGGGTTTCATGACTCACAACATGGACCAAAGTATCTCAAAGAACACATAGTTGTTGTGGAAACTGTGTTCTAACCCTTGTTTTAAAGGAAAAACTCTCCACTGATCTATCCATAGCATAGTTTATCAGCTGGGGTCAAGCAGGGATTTGGGCCAGGGGCTCGGGGAATGCACTTAACCAAGGTGACCGCTGCGCCTCTGTTAGCGGGCTCAGGGTGTGGGTCAAGATGGCCGCTATCCCCCCGTCCGGCAGTCTGGACCCTCAGCCGCCACCCGCCTGGTCCAGGAGACGCTCCTGTATCCTCGCCATGTGATCTTGGATTTCAAAATAGCGCCGTGAGTCAAAAGGCCGCTCGATAACGCGGCACAGACATCTGAACGCTGTGTGGTGGAGAAGTGTGAGGAGTAAGTATCCAAGGTGAGGACGGTAACACGTGATGGTGACAGGACTCGGGTTACTAAATTCCACATAAAAAAATGAAGCTAAATAAAAATATTTCTAAACAACTTTTAAAAGGATAAAAAATATATTCAGGCTCATATACGTAACATACAGTGTTGTAGACTTGAATGAGACTTTAAGCTGCCCCAATCAATATTTTGTTAGTCTTTTAACTTCATTCTGCTCATTGTTTTGGTTCTATGGCTCACACCTTTATACCCTTGGTGTACCTCTATTGTTAATTCTTGCATATTCAACTTCATAGAGTGATATTATGTCAATGTTCTGTTAAAGCCTTGTTGCACTCCCCCCAAGCTGCCAAATATGTATCAAATAATCAAAGTTTAAGTCACACAAATTACAACTTGATATTGAGTTGTCTTGACTTAATTGAGAGTTGGCCTCAATTGAAACCAAAACATTTCAGTTTTTACCTGACTTTTGCAACATTTCAGAGCAGAACCAATGCATAAAACAAACAGAGACATGCAGATCTTGAGAAGCCACACACCAATCATTTCTGAGCTTTCATCCACCCTCCATCAATTATCTGTAACTGCTTATGATTTACAGCGGCCCTGCCCAATTTAACTTGAATTATCGCACATTAACTTTATGATGTAGCAAAAATAAAAGTGCACATCGAGGTGTGTGGTACCTGCTTCTTTTACAGGTAAAATTAATAATTCAAGATCTCTCCTCCTCCTCCTGTCCAACTCTCAAGGCCATTGTAAACAAACCGTCCTCTG